CCAGCTACTTGGGAGGTGGAGGCAGGAGACTCGCTTGAGCCCAGGAGTTGGAGGTTGCTGTGAGCTGTGATGCCAGGGCACTCTACCCAGGGGGACAGTTTGAGGCTCTGTCTCAAAATAAATAAATAAATAAATAAATAAAAATCTAAGTAGAGAACTACACCCAGGGCTCCAGCCACTGTCTAAAAGAGGAGAGTTACAGCCCTCAGGAGGTGCTGGGTGTAAAGACTGGGCATAGGGATGTAGGAATATGCAATGCTCTTGTGTCACCTGAGGGATCAGTGGCTTCTTATCATCATGGATGTTATTTGACAGTAGTTCCTGACAGATTAGCTCTCAGTTTTCCTGTCAACATTCAGTTTGTTTATTTATTTATTTTCATTGTTGTTGAGACAGAATCCCACCCTGTGCCCTGAGCAGAGTGCAATGGCGTCATAGCTCACTGCATCCTCAGACTCAGGCTGTGCACATCCCACTGTCTCAGCCTCTGGAAGCCGCTGGTATTACAGATGCTGGCTGTGGCACTTGGCTGGGTTTTTTCATTTTTTTAGGAGTTGGGGTCTCTTGCTCAGGCAAATCTTGAACTCCTGAGCTCAAGCAATTCTCCCTCAGCCTTCCACAGTGCTGGGATTATAGGCATGAGCCACTATGCCTGGCCATTCAGTTTATTTTTGACAAATTTCAAGATACAGGATTTAGACATCAGACTGAATTTTCAAAATAAACTCCCGTAAGCATTTAAATTCTCATTTGCTCAGTCGGTTAAGAATTTATTAAGTTATATCTCATTTAATTTTTTTAGCTAACAACCTAAGAGAAGATTATAAATTTCATCACACTTTCAGCACTGAAATAGCAAAGTTCTTGAAAGTCTCTCCAGGGAAGCTGGTTGTGATGCAGCCTGAGAAATTTCAATCCAAGTATGAGCCCAAGAGCAATGTGATGGACATTCAGGTGAGTGAGGCCGCCCTGGCTCTGGGAAGGGCCCCCAGTGGCACGAGGATTCTGGTTGAGCCCCCCATCTCCCTGGGGTTTTGCAGCTTGAAAGCATCACTCTGAGATCTGGGGCGTCCTTCCCAGCCACCTCTTCCCTTAAGTCATAGGGTTGGGGGCACAGCCAGAGGGCACAGCGTCCTTCCCACCCACCTCCTTCCACTTAAGTCATAGGGTTGGGGGCACAGCCAGAGGGGACTTTTTACACACCCTGTGGTCATGGGGCCTAAGTTGCTGGCAGAGTGCTGACTGCTTCTGCCAGTTGCTTCCACTCTTGTGCCTCCGAGCAGGAGTGCACTAATCTCCCTGGGGCGCCCGTTCCACAGTGTGCTTGGCCTGGGTGTCTGGGGGCCAGGACAGTCTGGCTGGTCGTCCAGGGTGAGGGCTACAGGGCAATGATCACCACATGGAGCTGTTGAACTCAGCATGTGAATTTTAACTTTCTGTCCTCTCCTGCATCCCTGCTTGATCTTCTTAGATGGTATGATACAGAAGGGCTGAGCAGAGGGTGTTCCAGGCCCCAGGGAAGCCTGGGTCCAACTCACTGGTCCGAGGGCTTCATTTGGGCCAGCACTTCAATGGGCAGATCTCAGATATCAGAATCTCAGATGTGGAGTCCAAGCTTTTGTTGGATGGAGGCTGGGCTACAGGGAAATGAGCTTCAGCCCTTGGGGTCCTTGCTGTTTGGGCTGTGGGCCCTGATGGGGGCTGGAGGAGAGGAGGGGCTGTGTGACAGAGGATGGGAGTTCCCCACCTTCTTTCCCTTACTTAGGCTTTAGTCCTGTTGTTGCTTCAGTCTCGATGTCACCCCTATCTGCTTTTCTCCCATAGTGAGGTTCAGGGTCGCTGTCCTCTTGCCCGGTCTTAGCAGCTATCTCAATTCCTCCCTCCAACTTCTCTTCCGTCCATCTAGAGATTAAGATCCCAGGTCAGAAGAGGGGCCCTGATGGAGCTTAGGGTCTTAGGCATGGCTCTGTGCAGGTGTACATGTTCCCAGGAAAGGGGTCTTTGACCCCGAGAAGGTTAAGAAGATCCATGTGGGCTGTGGAGCACACTGCTGTTTGTTTGCCTTTGGAGTTTGCCTTCTGGGTGAAGTTAGGGCAGTAGTTGAAATTAAAGACTCCCTATGGCTTCCTGCCACCTGGGAAATAGTCTGTGATTTAGCTCAGCCTCCAGGGTCCTTACCTGCTCCTCCAGGACATTCTACCCTCCTGGTGCCATTGGACCTGATCCTCTGTACTTCTGCCTCTGTCTGGTTGCTTCCCTTGAGTGCCTCCTGCTCTCTTCCCCCAGGCAGGGCCACTGCCCTGACCGCCCCATCTTCAGCTTCCTGGCTGTTATCCTTGGGCTGCAGTTTACCCTCACTGGGCCTCTCCTCAGAGCTATTGTTAGGTTGAGGAAAGAAGCCTGGCTCAAGTCCTTACAAAGCAGGAACTCCATCTCCAGGACACCGAACTCAGGTGCCCCAACATGCACCCCTGTGGTGCCTGAGCTCTGTGTAGTCATCACATCTTTTTTTTTTTTTTTTTTT